AAATTGTGTGTTGATGAAACATTCACGACGAGCACCAAAAAAAACCCTGAAAAAAATAGAAATGAAAGAACATGTTGTGTATAAAATGGATACATTTTTAGAAAATGTTGAATCAACTACCTACACTGAAAATACCTACATTATTTGGTGAGGCACAGGTCTCTTTTCAGTGAATTGCAAGACCCTATTTGCAGTACCTTATTATTTTCCCAGACCTTCACTATTCCAGCTAACATCTTCTGTGCTGATTGTCTGCCCTAGCCTGAATTCTTCTGGAAAACTTAAATGAAGACTGTTCAGCTGTTTCTCAGAAGGAGATCATAAAAATGAAAAAGTGTTTTTTCCTCTTAAATTCTCTAAACAGTTTGGCTGGAAAGCTTTAGTTCTTTCATACTTTGGAACAGGACTTGAGAATTGGCAGACTCATTACCTTTTGCATCCTTAGACATGCCTGCTGCACTGCCTGTGAAAATTTGTCCAAGTATTTCCCAGTTAAACTAAGGTTTCTCTAGGCCCTACTGTGCTCAAGTTTGACATATAGATTTTCTGTAGCTCCCATTTGCTCCAAGCAATCTTGATTCTAACATCAGTCAGCAGCAGCTAAGTGAGACTTCCTCTGTAATTGTTTTTCCCTTCATCCAGAAGACACAGAACCTCTCAGACCAGAAGCTGAGTAAAGAAGCTTTCGGTAGGTCCTAGCATTGCCTCTTTGAGCCTGGCCACGGGAGGAGAGAAGCAGCAGCCTGGAATACAAATTTTAAGTTGGGCCTGGCAGTTCCAGCAAGGTGAAGGTCAGAGATGGTCAGGAAGGAACACATGGGGACAAAGATTGGAAAAGGGCGAGGGCAGAAAGCCCTGTGACTGCAAAAGCCTGTTCCTCCAGTCCCCGATTATACCTTGGGCTTCCAAAGCGTCTGTGTCCTTTAACTAAATAGCCATAATGAGCAGGCACAAAATGGTTAACTTAAGTACTTCCGGTGGTAAGGACAGCAACATTTTGTTTCTCTCTATAAATGACTGTCTTTGCTTGATGGTCAAAGGTCTGATATGGCAGTTGGAAAGTTTTAACTGTTGAGGAACTGTAGATTTCAGGGCTGAAAGAGATGCCGTGACATGGGCTCTGTGACACAGCACTGTAGGTATCGTTACAGCTCCAGGTGTTCTGTTACCTGTTTTTTTTCTTGAGGAGGGAAGAGAGAATTGATTTAGGAAGTCGCACACAACAGAAGACTATATTAAAGAATGTTAAGGCTGACCATTCAGTAAAAAAAAAAAAAAGAAATTTCAGAATTGAAGTTGCCTGAGCAATTGATACATCAAAGGCATATCATGATACACAGTCACAAAACTGTTTTTCCACCGCTTCCCTGCCTGGTTCAATGCATAGGATATACAACCGTCTCCTAGTCAACCAAGTTCTCTCAGGGAGGGCTTTGTCTGTATAATCATTGCTTCTTTTGCAGCATCGGTTGTACTCTGCACAGTGAGAAAGAAGGGCAGTATGAAGGTGAAGTAAGGGTCTCCTTCAGCCTGCAGAGTGGTGCTCAGAACTCAACTAGTTGTCCCTGCCTCTACCAGGTTCTTTTATGCAATTTAAGCCACACAAAATAAATAATTCGTATGAAGGTTGTGCTCTCCATTTTGTGTAGACTTGAGTTTAAACCCAGAACTTACTCTGGAAAAAGTCCTGGGCCTTCACCATTTTTGCTGAAAGTTGTGGACATTCTGCTTTTAATAGAGAAAACGCTACAAAATGCAAAGTTATCTGGAAAAAAAAAAAATCAGGACTTCATTTCTTTAAGTAGACCACCACAAATTAGAGGACACTTGTAATCTGTCAGCTGCAAAAGGGGAATAATAAACCCAGATAATTTATCTGGAATGTTACAAATATAAACTCCTTGAAATCAATAGAGTTTTCAGATGTAGCTTTAAGGTTCTAAAATAAACTCTCAAACCCTCCTAAGGAGATTAATATTTGGTCTTCTGAATGAGGTGTGAATATTATTTGGGAAATAAGGGATGAGGCCATGTGAAAACAGCAAGGTGAAGTAAGCCGCTAGAGGAACCTCAGTCAGGTACTGTTCATTCAGTGAACTCAAAGAGAAAGGCCTTCCCAGAAAAATCGTATATGAATGTGTCATTAGAGCCCATTTTTTGCTGCATATTCACAGGGAAGCTGAGGTAGTCACATTAAGGTAACTTAGAAGTAAGGGTTACCTTACTTTTGGCATTTCCTAATTTTTGAGATGTTACTTTCGTAATTTCAGTAATTTCTCCATGTAACACAGTGCAGTATAGTATGTGCTATACATAGAAGCATGAATTGTGTAATATATACAAATACTTCAGTATACTTCAGACTCATGCAGTTAGCAGCAGAGCTCAGGCAAGGACTGAGTTAATGTCACTACATATGACTTTTAGATACAGTAA